GCCATTGACGATTTTTTCGTGTAAAGCGCGGGTAAGGTATGTTGAGAGAAAGTTTCATCCCACGTAGCGCCTTTGAGAAGTATGCAGCCATGCATTCTTAGAACTGCAGAGCCGCATGGTCAGCTACTCTTCGTTCAGTGCCCTAGAGCCGGTAAATGGTAATAATCAGCTGCTCATGAGAGAAAGCGATCTCTCTTGCACTGTGATGAGTTCTTCGATCGAGATACTTAGATCGAGATACTTCTCTGAAAGGAGAACAACATGTACCAGTAACCGTCTTTTACACCAGCGACGTTCATATGTCGGGCGATCTATGCACAAGTCTATAAAAATTCGCCCATGTTTGTGTAGAGCACGGAAATCCGACTGGCTTGCAAGCAGTGCGGGAGTGTATGCACTAAAATATGATAGCTTCATTTTAGACAGTTGTGTCTCTGGCGCCGAAAATCTCCGCTTTGGGCTGCGTCATTGGGAAGATTGGTCTACATGCAAATTTCGCAAAGGTGTAGGCATGCCAGTGCCTTTGTCCCAAAAGGCCATAGCCACACCTGTTTGCATAAAAGTAGTGCAAATTACGTCAACATGACAAGGCACTCACCGATATCCTTAGAAGTATAAGAAATGGCGTTTAAGTGTGATGGAAGAGGCGTCCATCAAGGTGGTAAAGGAAATCCTAATGTGTGCCTCGATTATGGCTCGTCCAAATTCAAATTGTCCCTCGTATGATGAATGTACGCTTCAGTCTTTATTATATGCTGTTCTTCACTCCAAGCAAATGACAATGGAAATGAAGCCACAATTCGTTTAGGTCTCGCCAGCTGAAAGCAGCAGATCAAATATACCTGCCTCTATTTGCAATGAAGCATGCCGCTTAACAAGTCAAGGGTGCGCCTGCTTGACGCTATACTGCGATCAAAACAGACCATTCGTTGTTGCACGCAGAAAACACGTCGCCACACCTCACGAAAAATGACAGGATAGTTATCCGTGATTGACAACTATACATTTGAGATAAGGTGAACACTTGTCCGCTTAATGTAATTGTGGATGCGACTTTGTGTCACTTCGACTTCGAAATATCGGGTGACATATTAATGTCGCCGATCGATAAAGCGAAACGTACAGCGTACGGCTCAGACGTAACAAATGTTGTGTTGCTATAAGATTGAAGAGCAAAGATTATGAGTATCCATTCCAGCTAAACCAAATCATGCAATCGCGCGTTCGCACCGCAATTTCCAATCTCAAGGGTTTATGCATCACAGCACTGATCCACATGTCAATATGTAGTGATGTCTCATGATGGAGACGTCCACTACAGTATTCGGTACGAGGCACGTCATATATCTTTGAGCTGCCTTCTTAAATACTGCTCATTTAGTCTTACGTGTTAGTAGCATAACATGTATAAGTAGGTAAGTGCAAGTGTGCGCGCGTGAAATATGTCAACAGGCTGAATTCTTGCTGCATACGTCGGCGCTTTTGGCCCGCTTTTAGACCCCAGCAGAATGTTGACAGTACATTAGTATGTACTTGTTTTGGTGTTTGAGTATACTTGTCCGGCAGCACCGGCATTTTGCTTTTTGTGAGCCGCCTGATCAAGATGGCGTATCTTGCGATAGCGGGACCGGTGGGAATTCAGCCAAACTATTCACCGACGCTTTTTCTGCCAGCATTGCTAGCCTATAACGATTGGGACCGATAACAGCCGATTATTACAGCCTCATTTTTCTCAAGGTCTATTGCTGGTCACCCATAGAAAGATGGGTAAAAACGGATTAATTGCGTATAGGAAAGTATCATCTGAAGAACTGTGCAGAGGGAATTCGATGCTGAGCGAGTTGATCCCGATCAGTATGTTTGCGCTGAATAGCACAATACATGTTTTTTCAGAGATGGCTAATACCTATACATGATTGGGTGTGCATCCGGATTCCGTTTACACTGTCACGAAGTAATTCGACTTCTGGTGGGACCGCCGGTAAAATTTGGCTTGCTGATAAAAGTCCGACAATGCTGCAGAGCAAAATTTATTCACAAAGCGATTAAACGTCATGACTGGGTGCGTAACACTATAACTGAGAGTTAAAAAGCCCAAGAGCAACACGTCGATGCAAAATGCGCATGAATATGTAGTGCGAAAAAGGGTTTATTTACCGTTGCTAATCTACTAACACATCCGGTATCTGCGGTCGATAACATTAAGTATGGACCAAGCTAAATCAAGCTATCTACGGTCGTGGCAATAGAGAAACTAAATTATCTGCTAGTATTCTTAAAGAGAATGCGAACATATTCTGCGGTCTAAATTTGGCCTATCCGACTGGCTCGTGAGAGCCAGTCGGATATGAAATGCTTTATTGGAGACAAAAAGAGGTCTCTGTATCTCAAGCTAAAATGAGGTCTGTCTATTTAAAGGTAACCTTTTTCTGCTGAAGAGCATCGACACGTTTCTATACCACCGGTGGAACCTCCAGCCTAACAGCGCGATGACGTAGCTTAGAAAGCGCGGACAACATGTAACTCATCTGTACCTTGGACGCAAACCAAGAATCATCGAGTAAGTCGACGTATCGTCATAATCAATAAGACGAGTGAAGCGTCGGCTGTAAAGCTGGATTTGATAGTTTTCTTACCTCGATGCCCGCGTTGTGCTTTATTCTTTGCAACGTCAAACATTGGTTGACGCTCCATTCGGTCATCCTCTTCATTATAGCTGGCTCGCAAAGCTGTAAGACGGGTGAGACAGGTCAGACGGCGCGTCTTGCCCAGTGTGTAAATCATGTACAGTACTATTCGACAGTCTCGTCATCAATCATACTTAAAGTAGTGGAGGATACGGGTGTTAGCAATCGCTGCTGCTCCAAGTGGAGGTGGTACCCCCAGTATTTCTGACCTTTGGGGCAAAAAAAGGCGTTCGCGGAGCAACTTTCCGGCTATCGTTTTGATATCGGTGTGAGTAAAAGACTCGCACGTATAGGTGTGCAAAGATCCTCTTTCTGCGCAGCGAGAAAATTTGGACGGTCAAACCATATTCACGCTTTGATGAGTTCAGCAATATTAGATACCTTGCGGTAGCTCACTAGATACTGGCATGATACTCCAATGGACTCTACGTCGAGATATCGCCACCCTATCGCTATTAAAAATTAAACACGACGTACATCACTCGTGCCGAGGGGCGGTTGAGTACGACATGTGACTTTCCCTTGGAGATCAGCTTGATCAATATTTCCAAGCAAAGGCGGAGATGGTAGCTCAGGCCTCAGAGAGTCGCTGTGATCGCTCTCATCACGAATTTCACGGCCTCCTGTCCAAGTTTATGCCTACTAGCGCCGATCGCAAGGACCACACTTTTCTCAGGAGCTCTCTGCTCCATGTTACGTGGTGCAAAGGAGAAAACAAACGCGACGAAGCTTTGTGGGAGCGGGCACTAAAAAGGACAAGAAGCGGGGTGAAACTCCACACGTAGTGGCAGCTCGGTGAAAGTTCACTTTCGGGCGATGTACTGAACTTCAAAAGAATCTCAAACCCCGGTCTTGGCGGCCTGTACATAAAGCTTACACGTCCATACAATGGAGCAATTACAGCTTTGTACACGTTTTTGAGCGAAGATAGCAGATTGTTGTGAGCTTCTGAATTTTTTGAACAACCAAAATGTTACCACTAATGAAAAGAATAAGAGTTCATAAAGGAGATGTTTGTCGTTATGACCTCATGTTTTTACTAGATATGATAATTTGTCTCTACATAGTATTGGTTCAAAAAGAATTGTTCCTAGATATATGACGCTCTTGAATAGCTAGTGACTTGGTAGGCTCTTGGTTTTGATCTTGGGTGAAGCGTATGAACTTCACCGCTGCGCGTACGTTTGCGCGGACACCGTTAGTCGAAGCTTTCTCTGTGCAAGGTGCACGGCAATTTCGTTGCTGTGCTTCTAGTTCCCAGGGAATAATAATTGCAAGGATCCTATAATCCCAAAGAAACATGGGCGCTCAAAAGAAGAAGCGACTTTTGTCTCAGCAAACAACGAAACCTCTGGAGAAGCAATTCGGGTGATGCAGAATATGAAAAAAAGTTGTTCACAGTCGAGAGAGCTGCTGCGAACAATTGCTCTAAACGTGCTACTGGCTAGCATATGCATGATGTGTGTAGAGCTTTCTATTTCCTGATAGATCTTTCCGCGCGACAAAAAATGCGCAGAATTCGGCTGTTCATACGGATACACTTCCGTCCTCGTGTGAGACGCAAGTGTATCCGTGTACAGTCATGATGTACACCGTGGTATATATCAAGCATTTGGTACACTCTCTTATTCCTGTAGCGTCTGGTATATCTTTTCTGATGAATATATTTATTTCCCCCTTTAACAATGAGAAAATATGGTTGGATTGCGATAACTGAAATATTCTCCCACGTTTTCTCTTTCGTACTTGTGTGATGGTTGCTTCCTCTTAGTGTACAACGTCGTGTTACGAACATATATTGATAAAAATATGATGTTGTTGCTCATACGTGGAGGTCGTAACTTGCGTTATCCAATATTCAAGCAGGTTGGTGCATCGTATCGCTTAACAATTAGATTCTGTACTCTTTTCATAACTTAAATATGATCGAGAATGTGGCGCAAAGTGGTCGCAATTAAAATATTTTGCTTGCCAACAAAGCTTTGGGGTTATCACAATCTGTTCAGATACTTTATACATTCATTTTAAGATCACATGCAGCCTCTTCACTTATAATATCACCCTTAAGGACCATAAAAATCCACTACTACAGCTTGTTGCTTTGCTAGAATTCCGCACCATACGTCGTGGGAAGCTAAAAGCACAGCAGATAAACAAATGCTTATGACTCAAGATTGGCTTTTCTCATCAGAAATTAAAGGTTAGATGAATTTTGTGTAATTGCTTTCATGAACATTACATTTCGCTGTAAAAATCTGATTAATAAAAACCAGCTACGTGTTAGATTTGATTCTCGACAATCGTGATTGAAACATGGCGAATATGCGTCACCGCCATTCCATTCATGTCACACATTCATTGTCAGCAACTGACGCAGTGTCTGATTCGATATCACCGCTATCGAATAAGCATCGTCCAAGTCTTCAATCATCGTTGCCACATGGAGGGCTCATAATTTTCAGTTTTCTGATCGTTTATATTTCGGCTTTTGCTGCCGTAACTTTCTGGAATACGTGGCTCCCACAGCCAAAGGGACTAAGCGCACCTTTAAGCGAATTTTCAGAAAACAGGACCCGTTTAGTACTGGATAAGATCATGGACTTCGGGTACCGTCCTGTGGGCACTAAAGCCAATGAAGAATTGACCCCAAAGTACTTGCTGGAACAGGTAAACGCCGTGTGGAAGTAAAGATTTCGAATTTTCGATCAATTGTAATGTTTGATTGATATTGTAGATTGAACAAATCAAAGCAAGTAAAGCAGAAGGAGTGAGTGTGGACGTTGACATCCAGAAACCCTCCGGTGCTTTTGGACTGAATTTTATTGCACAATTTCAAAACATTTACGCCAATGTAACAAATATTCTGGTGAAAGTATCACCGTGTAATGCGACGATTGAAGCTTTGAATAACTCGCTTATGATCTCATCTCATTACGATGCAGCCATTGGAGGAGCAGCCGCGTCCGACGATGGAGTCAATATTGCAATAATGGTCGAGCTGTTGCGAATATTTGTGTTGGATCCACCAAAACACGCGACCTTAGTGTTTAATTTTAATGGAGCGGAGGAGACAATTATGCAGGCAGCCCATGGTTTTATCACGCAACATCCGTGGACAGATACAATTCGAGCATTTATCAATCTGGAAGCTGCCGGTGCTGGGGGTCGAGAGTTATTGTTCCAGACAGGTAGTGATGAATTAGCCATGGCTTATGCAGAAGGAGCCAAGTACCCACATGCGAGTATTATTGCCCAAGAATTGTTCCAGTCAGGAATTATTCCTGCTGATACTGATTATCGAATCTATCGTGACTTTGGCTTCGTCGCTGGCATGGACTTTGCATATATTGCGAACGGCTACGTGTATCACACGGCTCTCGATGATGTTTCTCGAATCCAATTAGGTTCAATTCAGCGACTCGGCGAAAATATTGTAGGTATCGTGAATGTATTGGGTAATGAACCTGGTCGTCTTGAAAAAGTAGCCAACAATTTGCAGACCTCAAGAGCATTCTTTGCGGATGTTATGGGATTTACGATGATCACTGCGAGCAAAGAAATGACCTTTATGCTATGTAGTGGCGTGCTTATCGTGGCACTCATATATCTGGTACTTTCCAAAATTACATTCTCGGAACGTTTGACGGCATTTGTGCTTCTTATGCGGTGCTATGGTGCTGCACTTGCATCTTCCTTGACAATAGGAATACTATTGAGTGTGTACGCTCCACTCTCGTGGTATTCACAGCCTTATTTGGCAGGTGCACTCTTTATTTCTCCAGCACTTGCCGCAATGGTTCATCAGTTAATATTAGTGCTCGAGAAGGTCAAAACTCCTTTGCTAATGTTGTGGCGTCTACAAGAAAGTCTTTTGGAGGCAGTGATGTGTGTGTGGATGGCTGGATTGGCCATTTGCATGCAATTAGGGCTGATCTCGAGCTACGTCTTGGCACTGTGGGTTATCTTTCCAATATCGGGACAAATCTTGTCTCAGTTCTTAATGAACTTTCGTATCTATTCAGCGAGTATATATTTGATCATTTCTCTTTCTGCAATCATGATTCCCGTGGTCCATACGATGTGTTGCTTCGCGGTTGCACTCATGTTTTTTATTCCTTTGCTCGGCCGAAGTGGCCCAGTGTTGCCTCCGGACTTGGTGCTGTCAATTTTAATGTGTGTGATCTTGCTGGTAATATCATGCTTTTCGTTTCACATGTTTGATGGAATGATACTAATTGATTGTCGATGTCATGTCAGATATTGATGTCGTATTCGAGCCGAGTCTTTTGCTTCCTGCCAGTAAAACAGCTTAAGCGAATACGAAATGTTTGTATTGCTGTGGCCGTTGTCGCATTGGTCTTTGCTACGACACGGTCAGTATTATACAATACATGACAATTATCGTGTGGTATCCTGACAAAATTCATGTATAACTTCAATTTGCAGTAATCCATACTCCGACGATTGCCCGAAACGTATCATGGTCCAGCATGTTTATCGAAAGGTGGTGCTAGCGAATGGAAAAGTCAAGACGGACTCAGGTCTTTGGGTCAATTCCTTGGATTTTCGTGGATTGGATCCGATTAAAAGCTATATGAAGAGAACGCAGTGGAAATATGATCATATGCACGTAGCTCCAACAGAGCTTTACGAACACGCTGAAGTGTATGGTCACATGCCATGGTCTCTTCCGGTAAAGCACATATTGCCTGAAGATAAGTCGTGGTATCTTTCAGCTGCCCCGCCGAAACTGCCTGATGATTCACATGAGGCCAAGTAAATATCGAGTTTGTGTGTTTGTATTATGAAGTGAAGTGATGTCCCATTTGTATGCCTTATACCACAGTCTGCAGGTGTTGTCATCGACGTACTCAAAGACAACAAATCGCCGAACTATTCACTTTGTGTTTACCGGACCTTCCCACATGAATCTCTTTATTGATGCCAAGAAAACGAATTTAACGTCATGGTGCGTGATACTATGAATGTCTATCGTATTGCAGATCTGATAAATCAATTCTTACGAACTAATGCTGCAAGGTCTATGGGAAACGGTGTAAGCGGACCCGTTGCTGAGGCGGAAGATGCGTATATATTGCAGTTTTGTAGCGGTATCGTTCCAGCAAGCTATCAATTCTGGATCGAGGCAGAGTCTAACGAACCGATCAACGTAGCTTTCGTCGGTCATTTTCTCGAAGCTACGACTTCAGAGATGAATGAGTTCGCCAGCGTATTGCCAACTTGGACAACTCTCGCATCAGCAGTATCAACGTGGACAACAATGCAGATTTAGATTGATGCATAATAAAAGTTTTCGTCGTGAAATTACTTAAAATAAAATGCAGCAATTTCTTTTCAAAGAATTACTGACCATGCAGAGGTATGGCGATTGACTTATCTGAAAATGCTAAGAACTTGTTCCCATCAGCAATTTTATGCTCTCCAGAATTAGAACGCACATATACTTGAATATCGGAGAAACTAGTTCCTTTTACTCGCCGTTGAATGTGAAGATTTGTCTGGAGATTGTGTTATGCCGGACGATTGATTATCAGTATTGTTGACGCACGAAAGACTCTGGATATTTCTATTCTTGTATTCGCGTTGGAACTTGATAAAACCTGCTTTCGTTAATCGACCCTCCTCGATATTATTTTTCGATCTAAAGCCAAACAGATGATAAGTAGGCATATCTAACGGATGAAAGCATTAAAACTTGCTATCGTACGTGAGGTCACCGTACATCTCCAGAAACCTTTCCATATCGTCACTCGAAAGATTTGACTGACAATTGATGAGAAAGCGACTCAGCTCCTGTTGACTCACGTAGCCTCGGCGATGCGTGTCTAAGAGCTTCCATTCACTTTCCACTGATTGTTCAAATCGCAAATCTTTCTCGAGGTCATTTTCACTTGGATCTCTATTCTGTTGAACATGCCTGTTTTCAACTGCGTGCACCTCGTGTTTCGGACTTGCTACAGAGGGTGACACTTGCACATGACTATCTACAATTTTTATAAACTCTGCACATCACAACAATCAATACCATGTGGATTTTGTCATAATTTCAATTGTCACCATCGAGATAGACCTCGCCCAGCTCATGAACGTGTGTGATATTTACGTCAAGCCCTAACTTTAAGTGTACACGAGCAACTGTCAATTCTTAACATTCCTATTGGATTAAAAGACGTCACCACACCAGCGCGAACATGCGGCATGCTTGACCTGCTGAGACTTTTCCATCGTCATCAGTATCGAAGTAGCGAAAGATCTGACGCATCACAAATGACGTTAATGAATGTATCGTCATTACAGCAAATTAGTGCTATCACCGCGTGCAAATCCTCAAGGTCAGCATGGCTTAAGTGATCAACGCGCGAATCAAATGATGCTTGGAAGGAAGCGTGAACGATATTCATATTCAATGCCAACAGTCGTGCTTTAATTGAAGTAAAAGTCACACAAAACAATCAGAAGAGTCGGGAGCAGCTTCAAGTGGACATCGCATCACGTTTCAGAGTCCACTCTCCATGACTCAACAACAAGCTCAGTACCTTATCACGTAGAGCGCATCAACTTCGACACACTATCTGATTAAACATTGACAAGCCACGCAACTTCATTTCGCAGAAGGTCATACAATGATAGATTTTATTGCAAACATTCAAGTACACGCCTTTAATTACTACCGCTCCAAGGTCAAGTGGCATTGCAGACGTCCATATGGTCAGTGTATCAGCTGCAGTATCCCGCACATATATAATGATTTGAAAATGGGCACATACTGTTGAGTAAATGGGTGCAGACCTCAAATCTCGTATCCAGATTGGCGGGATAGAGCAAAGCTATTAGGGGTACTTTACATGTATTACATCACAATTTATATCCAATTCGACGACTAGCTTCACCGAATTTTCATAGAGCGTGGTTTGGACAGAAAGTACTTGGTGAGCAGACTACGTGAAGCTTAGAATGATAGTTGATCTCTTAGGAATATCTGGTGAAAACATGTAGATTGAGATGGCCAAAAATTTAAGAAATTTCATCTATCTATAGCACCCTATATTACGGTAGGGAGTAATCTCCTGTCCTTTCTTAGTGCAATATGAGTTTATTGGCTACTTTATCAGTTGTTTACGATATCATAAAAGCACTAAATTTAATATGAAAGTTTGATACTGTCTTATATAGTAAAAATTGAGTAAATGCAATATGCGACATGATCCTTATGCTTGCGTTATTGTTCCGGTCTGATTGCGCAGAAATAATCACAGCTTCGACAGCTGGAGAATTTAGAGCAGAAACAAGGTCATTTCTCAATGGCAAAATTGTCGTCATGAACGTATGCTCTATAGAATGTTCACCTTTTGCAAATTATTCATTGGATAGCAATCTAAACAGCACGTGCTAAATGAAGCAAAGGCTCTTTTGATATCTATCCACAATGGCCAGCTCGATTATACTTTACTCTTTAAAACTACCCTATCGCGCATAATTGAAAAAGCTTCTGTACATACACTTGCACATCTCATTCGAGATTGAGTCACGTAAAGAGCATGTCTGACGGGTAGGTCAATTTGGACGAAGGATGGGCGTCTTTAACATGAAAACATAGATTTTTTGAACAAGTGACGTAATAGCGGAGCTATGGCTTTTATATTCCTTTGTCGTATTCAGATGGATGAATATCGCTGAAAGGATCAGCAGCTTACAAAAGTGCAGACTATTGTGCTCATACAGGCAAATCAAAGTTTACTGCTTATAATGTGATGCGCATTTCTTACCACTAAACCCTGAGCTACCTTAAAAGATGACTGCACGCTTAGCAAGCGAGCAAATTCTGGGATTGTATAGAAATTCCATCACTACAAAATTAATCTTCGTCCCTTGACTCGAGGGCCAAGTTTGGGCACTTTTGGCGATGTCGGTGCCCTTTTTTATAGCAGGAACAAAAAGGAGATGCGTTTCAACCAGCCGCTCACTAGGGGCGACAGGGTCGAGTATGTCTTCATTCTAATTCATCAAGATAAACTACCAAAGAGCTCAAGTCAAGTACTGTATGCTGAAGACCAAAAGTCATCATAAGCTCAAGCCAGAGCGAGCCCAGAGCGAGCCCAGTGCGATTTTCAATCCCCACTTTCACTCTGCAACTTTTGCCATGCTAGTCATGCACGGCGATCTCTCGGCTCCAACATCCGTGAGCTCAGCACTACCAGCTTTAATTAAGCGTGATGACACGCGGTCACTACTTTGGCAAGAGACGTCGACTCGTTCGCCAGAGACAACGCTACCGTTGCCTCTTCCCTTGCCGCCTCGTGCCATGTCAGAGCCCAAGTCACCAAAGAAAAAGATTGGCAAACAAGTGTTCATTTGTACCGAAGTACACTGTGGTAAGCAGTTTCCTCGCTCTTTTGCGCTCCGACGCCACATGCGAATTCATACAGGCACCAAACCTTATGTCTGTGACTACGAAGGCTGTGTACAACGTTTTAACACGTCGGGCAATTTGAGTCGCCATAAACGCATCCATAGTGGTGAGCGGCCATATCCGTGCATATTTGAGAGTTGTGGTAAGCGTTTTAATACAAGCACGAAGCTTAAGAGGCACATGCGCATCCATTTTCCTGAAGGCCAGAACCTATTTCGGTGTATTGGACAGAATTGCAATTGGAGCTGCGACAATTATAAGGAATATGCACAACATCAGAAGCTGCATCACAATATTATTGTCGGTGCTCATCAGGAGCCAACGTACGCCCACCAACATCATGGATTGCAAAACATGCAGCACTCCATTGTAGTGGGCGAAACATCATCTGACAAGGACAATTCATATTATTCAGCATCAGACAGCCACCGAGAGTACTCGACTGAAAGTCTTCAGTACGCCAGCCATCAAGTCTCGACGGTGCTGACTGGCAGTTTCCAGTGTGGTAGCGGCTATGACAAGCCCAAAAATAGCTTTTTGGCTCCGCCTCGCAGCAAATTTATGAGTCAATCTCCTTTCTTTAGCTCGGATCACAGTGCTAGTCTTTCAACAGTGTTGCACAAGGACCAGAACAAAAAGACGATTGAGTTAGATCATGTCTACGGAACAGACCAACGCCGTTTGAAATGTAACACTGCTTTTCCGTCTGTGCATTATTCGAGCACTGCAGGGCCGTATGGGGTAAGCTCAGACAGTATACTTAGCCGTCCTAGCTTCACGAACACCAGCAGCCACTTTGCACATCTTCGATCAGAAGACGACCGAGGTCACAATGGCAATCATGAGCACACTCAATCGCAACAGATATTGCCACCTCCCACTAACCATGTGCTTCGACCACCTCCTGAAGAGAGTAAATACGGTGGATTTTCTTTGCCACCGCCTTTAAACCCCGCGGCGCCCGAGTTTACGGGAGAAGAACTTAACGTCGTGTTGCAACTCATGAATGAGAACTACTGAAGTGCAAACTGTACAGCTTGCAGCTTGGAGGTTTATGGTGGATAGTTTTGTCATCTGTTTAATCAAGGAAACTTGTAGAAAGTTTGAAACAGGAAGTGCGATGTACGTGTAGCTGCTGCACGTCGGTATTAATATTAAAGCTCGACTAATGCATCTATTCTATAAAAGAAGAAGCAAGCAATATGACGTTAATTTTCAAACATTTGTTGTAAAAATTAGCTGCAAATTTCAGGAGCGCTTTTCTAAAATAAATTTTCAGTAAATCTTATTCTATAGGTGACACCTACAGCTCCCATACAGTCTCGTCATTCTCGTCTTCTTCGGGCCCATAACTTAGCTTCTCCTTAATATCATGGATAGCAGTCACATCGCCATGCATCGTATCCAAACCAGCGTTCTTTGCATCTCCTTTAAAAGAGGATTTAAACCGGGAAAAGTGCCGTCTGTCTTGCCGCCTGTCAGCAAGGCGTTCCGACGAAGTTTGGCGTATTGGTTCCAAGCTGCTTTCATGCTTTCCAGTTTGAGATTTAGAAATTCGCTGCAATTGATGCCGCAAATTGGACGATAACGGTCTAGACTGGGCATTGGAAGACGGCAAAACTTCGCGTCGCGTTTGATCTTGAATCTTCAGATTGGAGGGATTAGACGCAGTGAACGGCTGCTGGAGTATCGGACGCGCGACCGACTTGCGATTCATTTTTCGAAGTGCATTCCAAAGAGGGCGCGACTTCGTTGCGTCTACTGTCACTTGACTGCTAACATATACATAGACATATACATGTGCACGTAAGCCATTGGGAAGCTAACAAATGGCTGTAGGATACAAGTATACGTACAATGTGGCACTAGAGTTTAGCGAATCGACGTCGCCACCTTCTTCCTGAAAGCAAATGCAGCCTGACATGAGCTTACGGCATTCTTGACACTTCCCGTCCCAGCAAAGTGGCGGTGTAGAGACCTCGGTACTCGGCTGCCCCATCGTAGTGTGAATTTGAGATTATATTTGCAACTAACGACGCGCCATTGCGGTAAATTGGATGGAACATTAAGCCTTGTGAGTTGTTATTTCTTATATAAAAGATAAAATTGAAAGGGTAGATGTGCGATTTGACCATCCAGTAATCTCGAAGTCAATTGAATTCCCTTCGTCAGTGCGATAAAGGTGTTGTGTTGACAATCTCAAGTAAACTTTGCGAACTCGCGTTGAGCACTGGTTATTAAAATGATAGAATATATAAAAAAGCTCAAGACTTGGCGAGGTCATGTCACTATGAGAACATTATTCGAGGAAATGCACCGCTTTCGGCAGATTCCTGAACTATCCAGCCAAGAAATTTTTTTTTTGACGATATTCTTCCACTGTATAAAATGACAAAAAAGTGCTGACACAAAATAAAGAAAATTACAGCGCAAAATTATGTAAGTGACACCAGAATCCGCTCTTTCAGAAATCAATGAGCGGCTCGTTTGGTTTTAACGCGTACGACGACTTTCTGCAGACGCAGCCCGCACAGTCGCAGTCTACGTCGAGCTTCCCTCTAACACAAGCATCACAATCGCAGTATGCTTTTGTAGACCCATCCGACATTGGCAGCACTGCGGATTCGTTCTACGATCAATACCAAGCGCCCGTTGGAAGTGGAACGTCCTTTTTCGACCAATCAAGACCCGTTGACGGCGTCTCGAATACTTTCCAGAGTCAGTTGGACAATGCTAGTCTGGCTAGCGAGTTTCAAAGCCTCACATTTGATGAGACAGCAGATGAGGATGCGCTAGACTATACGGCTCGTGAGCTGCCCAAGCATGCGTGTGCCTATTGCGGATTGCACGATCCAGCTTCTGTTGTCAAGTGTGTCATGACTGAAAAGTGGTTTTGCAACTCGAGAGGCAATACAAGTGGCTCACATATTATACAACATTTGGTCCGTAGCAAGAATAAGGAAGTGTCGCTACACCCTGATTCGCCATTGGGTGAAACCGTGCTTGAATGCTACAATTGTGGCTGCCGTAATGCGTTTCTATTGGGATTTATCCCTGCCAAACAAGATTCGGTGGTCGTGCTGCTTTGTCGAGACCCATGTTTGCAGATGAATGCACTGAAGGACATGAGCTGGGATATGTCGCAATGGCTGCCAATTATTGAAGACCGAAGCTTTTTACCATGGTTAGTTAAGGTCCCATCAGAACATGAGCAGCTCCGTGCGCGGCAGATTACGTCGAGCCAAATTGCTAAGCTGGAGGAATTGTGGCGAGACAATCCACTGGCAACGGTTGAAGATCTGGACCGTCCAGGTATCGATGATGAACCCGTTAAAGTGACACCTATTTATGATGATGGGTATCAGTATCAAAATATTTTTGGGCCTTTGGTCAAGATGGAATCAGATTACGATAAAAAGATGAAAGAATCGCAGACGCAGGAAGGAGTGATGGTTCGGTGGGATACGGGACTGAATAAAAAGCGTAATGCAATTTTTACTTGTTCACGACCTGATTCAGACTTACGTCTTGTGCCTGGAGATGAGATTCGACTACGTTTAGGACCAAGTGCAAGCATGTTGTATGGAAAAGATTGGGAAGGCACGGGTCATGTCCTGAGACTCGAGGAATCTGAAGTGGCGCTAGAGATGCGAAGCAATAATGTACCCGTTGAGATTACGGATGGATACTTAGTGGACTTTGTGTGGAAATCCACGTCATTTGACCGTATGCAAGCAGCTATGAAAACGTTTGCTGTGGACGATACGTCACTAACGGGATATTTGTACCACAAGATCTTAGGCCATGATGTTGGCGTCCAGCCTTTGCGTATTCCACGCTCGGTAGGTACTCACTTTTCGGCGCCTGGACTTCCAGAGCTTAATACTTCGCAAATGGAAGCAGTCAAAGGGGTACTAGAACAACCTTTAAGTCTAATTCAAGGACCTCCTGGTACAGGCAAGACGGTAACCTCTGCGTCAATCGTGTACCACATGTCGAAACAAAATATGGGACAAGTACTGGTAACAGCACCAAGTAACATCGCAGTGGATCACTTGACCATGAAAATTAGTGCCACAGGACTTCGTGTCGTGCGCCTTGCTGCCAAGAGTCGTGAGGCTGTGGCTTCGTCAGTTGAGCACTTGTCGCTTCATGCAATGATCAAGTCGCTGGATTCTCCGGACAAAGCGGATCTACGCAAGCTTATGCAATTGAAGGATGACCAGGGTGAATTGTCGTCTCAAGATGAGAAGCGATTTAAGTCACTGAAGCGACAAGCTGAACGGGAAATATTGCAAGCGGCAGACGTTATTTGTACAACGTGTGTGGGGGCAGGTGAGCCCCGGTTGTCAAATTTCCGGTTCCGCCAAGTGTTGATTGATGAAGCCACTCAAGCTACGGAGCCCGAGTGTTTAATTCCAATTGTGCAAGGTGCGAAGCATGTGGTGATGGTTGGCGATCATTGTCAATTGGGACCAGTTGTCATGAACAAGAAAGCAGCGAAAGCCGGTTTGAATCAGTCACTCTTTGATCGTCTATTAAAAATTGACTTGAAACATCGTCCATTCCGTCTGCGTGTCCAGTACCGTATGCACCCGTTTTTGTCGGAATTTCCTTCGAATGAATTTTACGAAGGTGACTTACAGAATGGAGTGGCAGCAAGTGAACGCCAGCTTTCGAATGTGGACTTTCCATGGCCGAATCCAAATAAACCGACTTTCTTTTACATTTGTCTTGGTGCAGAAGAAATAAGTTCCTCAGGAACAAGTTACTTGAATCGCACTGAAGCGAGTAACGTGGAGAAGATTGTCACTACGTTTTTAAAGGCTGGAGTTTTGCCATCTCAAATTGGTGTGATTACTCCTTACGAAGGCCAGCGTGCGTACGTTGTAAGCTATATGCAACGCAACGGACCCATGCGCTCGCAACTCTATAAGGATGTCGAAGTCGCAAGTGTTGACTCATTTCAAGGTCGTGAAAAGGATTTAATAATTTTGTCGTGTGTGCGCTCGAACGAAAACCAAGGTATTGGTTTCTTAAGTGATGAGCGCCGTTTGAATGTGGCGCTTACACGTGCTAAGTACGGCGTCATCATTCTGGGCAATCCACGTGTGCTAGCGAAGCAGTCCCTTTGGAACAAGTTATTGAACCACTATCGTGACAATCAATTGATTATGGAAGGCCCTTTGAACAATTTGACGCCATCTCACATGCAGTTCCCCCCGCCAAGAAACTCTGGGCGCAGTGCTAACCGTGATGGCAATGCTTTTAATCGTCAACGTGGAGCTGTCCCTCCTTTGGACTCGCGCTTTGACCCACGCTATGATCAAGCAGGACTTCCACCATTTGGATCATTTGTAGCTGGTGGTCTTCCTCCCCCTATACCACAACGTGGCACGCGTCGTGGACCAAGCAGCAACTATCTCTCTGGAAGTCTGGGTCCACCAACTCAGGATATACCTATTGAAATGGATGCTCCCTTCACGCAAATGGCTCAGACACAGCCTTTCAGTCAATTGTCAAATGATAAATTCATCATGTCGCAGGATGGCTTCATGTATGATCACGACTTTAAGTCTCAAAACATGCCAATGTCGCAAGATACCCACGGTCCGGGCAGCGACTATTACTAAGCCGAGTCTGTTGGAACACAGACGTAGCATCTGTGAGGTACCAATGTACTGAAACGTCTGCAGAAAACGCGTTTCAGAGAACGGGATGCAAGATCTTTTTGCTTTGACTTGCCGATGCTCAACAGGATGATAAGCTTGCGATTGGGCAAACAAAAGTTCGGAATCGTGTTGATGACAATTTGACAAATTACAGACTCCGTTGAACAAATTGAAAGCACTCAGCAATGCTCAGTGCTGGCGTCTTCGGCGTCAACAAGCTATCAAATAGTTTACAACACGTCGAATGGTATCGCGCTGACGTTATAGGTTCAAAATGACAGCAATATCGATAATGATAAACAAGGACATCTGCAAACGTTTCTTAGTTATTTTGGTAACTTGAACTCAATAGAAACAACAGTTGTTTCATTATTCCTTTTTGTTAAAAGCACAATGTCTTTTAACCCGGAACTGTTTGAGGACGATAATGGCAAGAAATTGCCTTTAGCTTACGAAAATGAATTCTTCATTCTCGAACGAGAAAAGATCACGTTTCAGTGCAAGACTCCTGAGTAAGTTCGATGATATAAAGTGATCTATATGAGCTAAGGTTGGCATCATTAGGCAAATTGTGTTTAATGGCAAAGGTCGGATCTATTGCACTACTCAGCGCATCATCTTTGTGGCTGATAAAAGCTCTATGAAGAATGGATGCTCCTTCGATGCGTTTGTACATGTTTTTTGCTCTAACGTCGTGTTTAGAAGTACTGATGTTGATTTTTAAGGAAATTCCGCTAGTGAAAATGAGTGAAGAAAAGTTTAACCAGCCGATCTTCGGGGCTTGTAGCATTTCGGGTTTTGTGGCTTCAGTAAGTAAATTTCTTAATGTTGTACTTGAATATGATGAATGAAATTGAATATGATGAAGAGTGGAGATGGTGAAGATATTGGAAAAATTGTCTGGAAAATTACGTTTTCTAATGGTGGTACTGGTATCGTTTTACCCGTTTTCTTACGGCTACTAGAAAAACGCAAAAGAAGAGGTGAATGCTGTTTAAAGCTTGGGAATTTTCTCGGTTTGCTAACATTATTGTATACCAGAGGAGCTTGATCTGGACTTCGTGCAAAATCAGAAAAAGGCGTTTGTTGACCCAAACGACCCAACTATACTTTACATTGCACAACCTATGAAGAAATCTGCAGTTTGAGGCACATGAAAAATCACTTGGGATCAAATACATTAATTCTGGCCTTTTCGAATTCATGTTCTTTGTAATGATACCCGTTTTTTAAGGTATCTAGCAAAGGTATCTGTCAGAATCTGCAGCCTGCAAACTTTCAAACGGTTTCTAGTTGTGTTTGCCCTTCTCTTTGCTTTTCATGCGAGCTATAGCTTCGTCTTGCCGATATATCCACACTCTTTGCGTCAGCTTTAAAATGACCTGAAATTGATGCATGACGATCCGATATCAAACAAATAGCTTTCAATTTGTGACTATTGTGAAACGAAAGAGTAGGTCGGTGAGACGCAAATACAACAAACATTTAGTGTAAGACATGAGAGGTATTATTCCCTAGGCTCTTTGAGTAGCAGCACTTGAACCAGCATCAATTTCAGCGGGCGATCTATCACACATTTTAAAATTAAGGCAAAGATGTCGTTCTTGTCAGTATATCAAATTTGCTTCATTCCATTGTGGACAATTTTTGGAAGCACGTGTTAACAGCCGATAAAGATATGGTGAGTAGAATCTTTGACGATGATTTAACCCAATCGGAACAGGGTACTTTATGCAAACGAACGCTCTACTGATTTCGACGATATGAAGATGAGAATGGCTCAGTCAGTATATATCTATTTCTACATGCACAATGGTTATCTCCTTCGCACCCACTCGAACCGTGATACGATACTATGGTATCCTCTTGGTGCTTCAGAGTATCGCCTAAAATTTGAGGGACATTTATGTACACAATAATATGTTACGTACGGGATTGCCGTGCACCTCGCACGGAAAAAGCGTTGACATTTTTTCAGCGCTAAGTAACGCGCAGAGAATGATCTACCAAGCACCGCTCAGATGCCGAACCAAGATCCTCTCAGGCTACTAATAGCTGTCGTTGCTTTTTGTAACGGGGTTACACCTCCCTGGTATGAAAGGGTGGGTCACACAAGATGGTGTGACCGTTCAAAGGTTACAAAAGACGGTGTAAACACAGAATGGTGTGGCTACACCGTAACAAGAAACCAGTACGTGGTGATACTGCCAGTTGTTGTGCATGTTAATTAGGTTCTACTATTTTTTGGGGATTTAAATATAGGCGGCTTTGCCGCAAATAGAACAGATAAATACAGGTTACATTTTGAACAGAAAGTGTATTTGCTTCGGATTAAGGTTCTGGGTACTCTTGAAGGTACGAATTGCAATTCGCTACACTCATAGGTTCTAGTATAGAACGTAAGGTCGGTGACTTTAGTAAGCCTCCTCTAAGCAAAGAGGTACGGCAGCCTCGCTGCACTTTGAATCCAAAATGTGTATACTAGTCGGAGCTGCACTTATAAAAATGTTGATGATTTCGGATCAAGCACTTCCTATTGTATATCGCTCCCACGTACACAGATATATTGATACATTGGCACCAAGGGGGTCACAATCATTGTGTCTGTGGTAACGAGGCCACGCATACTGACATCTACACCGAATCACTGTACCGGAAGTTTATCACTTTCTTTGCACATACTTGTGCTAGCTCTTACGAACATTATCCCTTCAAGAGTCCTCTCCTCATATTGCTCTGTGTGTAACATGACTCAGCAGAAAAGGCCACAGCTCTCGCAGCCGATGGCTCGCAACCTTCGTCCACCTAGGAGCGTCTGATGCGCGATTATCATGACTTTTGACCTCATATATGCACTTGACCGGGAACCATACGGCTGCGCATCACCAAAATGAGTCATCTTCTTTGCTCAACCTCACCTCTGCACGAGTTGCCTATTCTCAACTCGATTTATGCGAAGATGCTGCTGCCTACACAAAGCCCAACTTGATTTGCTAGTAAGAAGTTTTTACTTTTTTCTGCTCGCGATGATTAAATTGAACACTTCCACGGAAATTGTTTAAAGAAGTTTCGTGTCTGACGTGCTAACGTGAGCTTAGGACAACTTTGCAAGCAACGAGCTCACCGAACGGAACTTGTCGTTGATGTAATCAGCGCCTTAGTGAACGCTTAAAGCTTTCAACGTATAAAATGTGGGGGCATCAAATATATCTTCATAGTAGTTGCGTCAATGACCTTTGATGACCCAGTATACATCGGTACTAAATTTGGATGACCCAGCTACCGGTAACGTCTGATAATTATAAAAACACACAACTCCCCGAAATTAAACTTCTTATAATTTATGCATCTTCTCTTTTTTGCCGATCTACCGTATCAGCAATCATGGTTTTGGCATTGCATCAAAATTTAACTTATGCCTTATCGCACTTGTTAAAGCGGATGATAAGGAAGCAATTCATAAATCTGTTGTGCTTGTATCCAGCGGCAAATCACACCCGCAGCTAGATTACTAAAGATGTTCTCATAATTTTCATCATACGTTTTTGGTTGGATAAGAGATTGATAAGTTCCGTTAGAGTAAATTGTGGCTAGAAATTAATAGATTCGTAAGTAGTGAGAGGCTTTGATTATCAGCCACAGGTTGCCTTCTGGCCAACATCAATCAACATATTATTCGAAGCACCGCAACAAGTTTGGTATAATTATCCAAAGCAGTCAATAGTAATGAGGACGCCCTCAGATGATAATAATGAAAATAATATTCTCTTCTCTGCGATCCGCACCCGTCCGGACGCACTTGATGTAGGTCGTAACTGTGACCACCTCTGGTGTAGGGTTTGCCTCTATCGCGACGATAAGACTGTGCAGCACCTTGACATAGTCTACTTATTTCCAGGTCCCATGACGGTTAGTCAAAAATTTTACAACCATTAAGGCGCTGTATTAGGCAGTCGCTTCCATTCTTATTATGTTAGGAACGAATTCTGACAGAGTCGGTTTTATTCCTCAAGCACGGCTTCCTAGCCTGGAGACCACAAGCGCAACGCACTTTTGTTTGGCATGGTTTGTACCAGCTTTCTTCATCCAGAGTGTAACGGGGTTACACGAACCCTAATAACAGGGGGGTATCACACGAGATGTGCATAATGTGACCACACACCCAAACAAGAATACGGTACGGGCTAGGTAGCCAGTAATTATGTATGTATTTAGATTTTACCACATATATTTATTATATTTAGGAAATTCTAAGCTTTTAACATTAGAATAAAAATATAAATAAAAATCGGTTTCGATTTTGAGCAGAAGTGTTCGTTTGCCTTGGTTAAAGCTTTAAAGTACG